CCCCAAAACCCCAAAACCCCAAAACCCCAAAACCCCTAACAGATTATTTAATAAATTTCAAAATAAAATGAGTATTAGAAGAAAGCAGCTTGAGAGGAGGAGAGAAGGCATGGCTAATTCTATGAGCCAGGCTTCTATTAGTCATTTTAAGGATAATAACAGGATGCTGTGCAGCCCTGATAGAAGTAAGAATGCTCATAGAAACTTTTTGAACTCAGCTGTGAGAGTCTCTTCCAATCATAGAGTTGACCAGAGTTGTTCAAACTTCTCAGACTCTAAGAAAGTTTTAAATGTGTCCCAGCCTGTTAGTCCCATCTCTAGAGGAGCTGTCTCGCCTGGGACAAGGAACAGATTAAATAAATCAGTCAGGGTAAAGTCTTCAGCTAGTGTGATTAGCTCTACCAGCAGCAAAGACTTCGTGAATATTAGAGCTAGGCCTATAATAATTTATGACACTAAGCCAAAGTTTGATCCCAACAAGTTGGAATATATGGTCAAACCGACTTTCTTCAAAAAGACAAGGACAGTAAGAGTCAGTAATGATCAATATAGACAACTATGAAAGGGAAATTAAATGATTCATGGCTTGATATCGAAACTAAGAAGAGATCCCATGCTCCTGACCCTGGCCATTACACTGTCAAAGAAAAGACTGTTAATAAGATGAAATTTTTAAAAGGTAAAAGAGTGACCCAGATACAGGAATATGTGAAACTTAATAAATGGAAGCTGGCTCCAGGTGCTCATTTTAAGAGCAAGCCACAAAAGTCTTCATCGTTAGCAAATAAGAAAGGGATAATGCATTCAAAAGTGAAAAGAATGGGATATATTGATGAAGCTATTGCTAGAGGACAGCAAAGTCCTTCTTACATTTATAAAAAGGATAGCAAACAGACTAAAAAGAGACAGATTTATGGTGATTTTTCTAAGGGAGTTCAAAGAAAATCACAATTTAAAACAAAGAAGTCTAAGTCAGGACCTGGGGATTATAAACATGTAGAGGCATTTTATAAAACTCAAGAGAAAACCCGATACTGTGTATTTTCAAAAGGTAAAATCTTTTATATTGTTTTTAATAATCTTTAATAGGACAAAAATCTACTAAAACAGCTTCGAAAAGATACGAAGTCCCTGGAGTAGGAAGCTACCAGAAGGTTGAAAGCGGCTTCAATCGATTAAGTCCAAAGCCACTTTCTCTGAGGAGAAAGAGGTGTTAAAATATGAGCTAAATTTTCAAATTCAATTTTTGTACAATCATTTGGGGTTTTGGGGTTTTGGGGTTTTGGGGTTTTGGGGTTTTGGGG